AGAAGAAATACATAGATTGGGGAGTGAATAACACAATACACATTAATATAAGAGAAAGAACCGAGAAGAAATACATAGATTGGGGAGTGAATAACACAATCCTAACCTTTTTGYGGCCAACAGCGAGCGGATCGTTTAAATTCTCAAAACCCAACCCGTCTCTAGATCATTAAACACCTGCAAATGATATTGYTTYTTTTCTTAAATTCACTTCGTATCTTCTGAAGGGAATTTTGTTTTGTTTGTTCCATGTGTGTGTTTGTGTATTTGCATACCCAAAAGCTACGGTTGTAGGGTTATAATTAAAGGAGGATATCTTATGATTTAGAATTTCCTCAAGTCGTGAGAGGGGGGGTGTGAAGATATGCTTCGGCTGCCAATCAGAATAAACTTTCTATGATCCMTAAACATCAAGTAGAAATTGAAATCTAAACTCTTCACCTAAATGATTAGTTTGTGATTTTAGTGGTTGATGATGCTACACTACTTAACATGGACAKCCTTGAGTTTTTGACAGCCTTGGTTTTGGACAACTTTGAGTTTTKGACAAATTAGGATGTGAAAAACATGAATGAAGATTGTTTGTGTGAAAGAGAACCAAGTGAACATTGTATAAAGTAATTCCATGTTTTAGTAGTCTTTTCTGTTTTTGTTGTTTAATAAACTTGAACATGTTGTCTAAGTTGTTTATCATGAATGTAAATATGTTCTATTTTCCAGTTTCCAAGWGAACATATGTTACAACTTGATTCAATGAATGCCTAGATGCATACAACCTTTTAAGGAGATACAATGAACATTTAAATAAGATTAGATGGCTTGAGTTGGGTGACATCAAGATAAGTAATTTGAGATCAAATGCAAATGAGCTACCTTCTTCAAATGTTAGCATGTGATCAATCTGCAAATGAGCAAACAAAACTTTGCAATCTAGAAATCAAGAAAGAACAAAACTTTGCAATCAATCTTGAAGACAAACTAAATCTAACAAAACTGATGTGTAAGTCAAAATGACAAAAGACGTGTAAGTCAACAACAAAAGATGTGYAAGTCAAAATGGATTACCTGGACCGGGCAATGGATCACCTTGAATCGAGTCTCGAGTCTTGAATATGGAAATCAAGTAAGAAAAAAACTTTGCGGTGTTAATAACAAAGTATACGGTAGTAATAACYAACACATTTTATGGTTTGAGATACCCATTTTTTGGTGTGTGTCCAAAAATAGGTAGTAATAACTAATACAGCTACTTCAATTTCAGCAACTTGATCACTGCAAACTGTTAAGTTTTCTTGATGAAAGCAATTAGTTGGTTTCTAATTCTCTCTCTTCAAAACATAACCACGGGGCCGTTTACTAATAGGATGGGGTATAATAGATTCTGCTACCATATATCCTAATAGATTCTGTAAAGCTATGGGGTAAGCT